TTGGGGGGTTAACTGGCATAATTTGTTTCGGGGGTTTGCCTGGACCTATGCTAATTGGGGTGTGACCTGGCATAATGCAGTTCGGGGGTTTGCATGGACCGTTGCTATTTGGGGGGTTATCTGGCACAATATGGTTCGGGGGGTTTGCCTGGACCTATGCTAATTGGGGGGTGACCTGGCATAATGCGGTTCGGGGGTTTGCATGGACCGTTGCTATTTGGGGGGTTAACTGGCATAATTTGTTTCGGGGGTTTGCCTGGACCTATGCTAATTGGGGGGTGACCTGGCATAATGCAGTTCGGGGGTTTGCATGGACCGTATGCTATTTGGGGGGTTATCTGGCATAATATGTTTCGGGGGGTTTGCCTGGACCTATGCTAATTGGGGGGTGACCTGGCATAATGCGGTTCGGGGGTTTGCATGGACCGTTGCTATTTGGGGGGTTATCTGGCATAATTTGTTTCGGGGGGTTTGCCTGGACCTATGCTAATTGGGGGGTGACCTGGCATAATGCAGTTCGGGGGTTTGCATGGACCGTATGCTATTTGGGGGGTTATCTGGCATAATATGTTTCGGGGGGTTTGCCTGGACCTATGCTAATTGGGGGGTGACCTGGCATAATGCAGTTCGGGGGTTTGCATGGACCGTTGCTATTTGGGGGGTTATCTGGCATAATTTGTTTCGGGGGGTTTGCCTGGACCTATGCGAATTGAGGGGTTAACTGGCATAATTTGTTCGGGGGTTTCCCTGGACCTATGCTAATTGGGGGGTGACCTGGCATAATGCAGTTTCGGGGGTTTGCATGGACCGTTGCTATTTGGGGGGTTATCTGGCGTAATGTGGTTCGGGGGTTTGCCTGGACCTATGCTAATTGGGGGTTGACCTGGCGCAATGTGGTTCGGGGGTTTGCATGGACCGTTGCTATTTGGGGGGTTACCTGGCATAATTTGTTTCGGGGGGTTTGCCTGGACCGATGCTAATTGGGGGGTGACCCGGCATAATGCAGTTCGGGGGTTTGCATGGACCGATTTTATTTTGGCGGTTGCCTGGCGTGAAGCTTTGCGGGGGTCTCCACTTCCGCAGGCTTTCTGTTTGAAAGCTGCACGAGTGCGCGGCCTCAGGTCTAACGAGGCTGCGACGTACATGAGGCGCCTTAGCACAGTATCGTGCACGGTAAGTCTGGGCCGCAAGCTTGGGGGGTAAACTGCCGTTCGCGCTCAAATGCAACCGTAAGTCGTTGGAATTGGCATATTTAACCGTTTCATCTGTACATATGCAGGGTCTCCACTTCCGCAGGCTTTCTGTTTGAAAGTTGCACGAGTGCGCGGCCTCAGGTCTAACGAGGCTGCGACGTACGTGAGGCGCCTTAGCACGGTATCGTGCACGGTAAGTCTGGGCCGCAAGCTTGGGGGGTAAACTGCCGTTCGCGCTCAAATGCAACCGTAAGTCGTTGGAATTGGCATATTTAACCGTTTCATCTGTTCTTATGCAGGGTCTCCACTTCCGCAGGCTTTCTGTTTGAAAGCTGCACGAGTGCGCGGCCTCAGGTCTAACGAGGCTGCGACGTACGTGAGGCGCCTTAGCACGGTATCGTGCACGGTAAGTCTGGGCCGCAAGCTTGGGGGGTAAACTGCCGTTCGCGCTCAAATGCAACCGTAAGTCGTTGGAATTGGCATATTTAACCGTTTCATCTGTTCTTATGCAGGGTCTCCACTTCCGCAGGCTTTCTGTTTGAAAGCTGCACGAGTGCGCGGCCTCAGGTCTAACGAGGCTGCGACGTACATGAGGCGCCTTAGCACAGTATCGTGCACGGTAAGT